AAAACACCTCTAAATAAAATAATAATAAAAGCAATGCGGCTTTAGTTCATGCATATGGTAAAGTTATAACATATGTTTATTTTGTAATTCCAAGTTATTTTAAACGGGCCAGACAGATCAATCAAATCAATCAGCCGTATGTGACAAGGTGTGGGTCTGCTCCAGCACTTCCAGGAGGATCCCGAGGTGTTCCCAGGTCAGCCAAGAGACACAGGCCCCGTCCACACTAGTACATATTCAAGTTGTTTTCATTGTGGATGCAGTGTTCGTTCACACTGATCCGACTGAAAACTGCTCCAGAGACGGAACGATCTGGTGCCTCCAGCTCCCACCAATTCATCTGAGTACGGCTCTGATCCGGCGCCGTGCGGACGCCTGAAAACGCTGATACTCTGACGTAGGAGCTCGAGTCGCGTCCTTATTGGACCACGTCACTGCGACTCGCTCCTTCCTGATTCTCTGGGTTCGTGACATCGGTCATGTGACGATACTGCAGAAAATAGTTTAAACAAACCACAGACAAACAGGAAACAACAACTTACACTACCGTTCAAAAGTTTGGGGTCACTTTGAAATTTCCTTATTTTTGAAAGAAAAGCACTGTTTTCTTCAATGACGTTAACTTTAAACTAATCAGAAATACACTCTATACATTTCTAATTTGGTAAATGATTATTCTAGCTGCAAATGTCTGGTTTTTGATGCAATATGTACACAGGTGTACAGAGGCCCATTTCCAGTGAAGGCTGAATCAAGTGGTGGTTTGAATATTGTTTAATGAAGTTACACATTGAGTTGAAGCTTAAAGGTTGTATGGAGGATTTTTGTTTTGTTTCAAACTGTCAGTGAAAGATTAAAATACCATTACAGAGACGCAGCAGCTTTGTAATTATGATGACCAAAAAAAAAAAGAACGAAAATCTATCAACTGTGGACGTGTTGAGGCCAGATAAACATCAGCCAATAGAAAACGAGGCTCCCTCATTTTCTATTGGCTGTTAGGTTGTCAATCAAACTCCCTAGTGTAACTGACTCGTCGGAGCGCGGGGATTACGTGGTTTACGCAGAGGTTCTTAGAGGCTTTTTCGAACTGTCGCTTCCTCGCATTTCGCACAAAGTTTGTCGAGACGGCGGACGAGAATCCACGATCGGTTCGCCCCAAAAGAAAGTCAGTTTTTGAGGTCGCTGAAAGAAGAAGAGAAGTGGAAAAGGAGCAAAGCCAAACTGAGGTGATTCTTGGAGATCTCGTCCAGCGATGGCGCGACCGAAGCAGGCGAAGAGTCTAAAAACTGACGCGTCGGTCGCTGAATTACTTCTAGACAGGAAACTTCAACAGTAATTCTGAATGCACACAAGGACTGTCACTGTATTTCTCTTCCCTTAAAAAAATCCTCTATACAACCTTTAAACACTGAGATCTTATCTGTTGAATAGTACCATTGTGTTTCTTACATAATGTGTGACCTATGTGCTTCTAAGCAAACTCCTTTGCAGAACTGGGACTGTGGAAATAACCAGCTGGCTTATCTAAACAGACTTGGTGTGATTTACATTGGTTTGGAGGGGGTTGTCACTTCCCCCAAAGAAGAAATGCTGACATTTCAAGGACGATTCAAGGCGGGAACCTGCTCCACATATTACATGCATATTCATATGGATGTTTATCAAACCTGGGTTGAAGTATTCAGAGGGAGTCAGATTGCCTGGTGTAAGACCTGCGTAAGTGGAGGCCATCAGGGACAGTGATCTGACCCAGAGCTCTGTATTAGAACTGTATTGTCAGGGGAATACATTTTTGTAATTTAAATTGAGTCTAGTCACTTTTGATGTAACACACCAAACACCAGCAACTGTCACTCCAGTGTTCTAATGGTACAATGCGTTTGCTCATTGTGTCATAAGACTAAAGGATGATAAGAAAACCCTTGTGCATCATGTTAGAACAGGTGAAAACAGTTTAGTTTTGGTTAGAGAAGCTATAAAACTGACATTTCTTTGAGCAGGTTGAGTATCTGGAGCGTCACATTTGTGGGGTCAAATAAAACCTCAAAATGGCCAGAAAAAGAAAACTTTCATGTGAAACTCAACACTCTATTCTTGTTCTTAGAAATGAAGGCTGTTCCATGCGAGAAATTGTCAAAAAACAACGGTGTGTTCTACTCCCTTCAGAGAACAGCACAAAAAGGCTCTAACCAGAGTAGAAAGAGAAGTGAGCAGCTTGACCGTACATTACGTCAGAAGTGTCCATCCAGCCAATCCAACTTGTGGGGAGGGGATTCTTGAAGTGTGGGGTGAAATTTCTCCAGATTATCTCAACAAATTAACAGCTAGAACAGGGGTGTCAAACTCATTTTGGTCCGGGGGCCGTATCCAACCTACTTTGATCCCAAAGGGGCCGGATCAGAAAACTCGTGTCATATAAACCTTAAAAATAACAATAAGTTCAAATATTTGTGCAGAGAAACACAAATCTATTACAGAAATCTTTTTTAATTGATGAACTCTTTCTTTTACAAAATATTATAATATTATGAACAACCTGAAAATTTAAGAAAAATGTAATTTCAACACAAAATTTTTACATAAAATTGTATGAAAATAGGAGTAAGTCAATTTTTGTTGTAAAATCCTGCACTCAGCTCCACTTTTCTCATGTTGGACATTTTTCTGATGAGGGTGTCACGGTCAACAGTCAAAACGATCGTCCTTTAAGAGCGTTTGGAAAGAGACAAGTCTTCATTTGTGCTGCTCTGGTGGGAGGGGGCCACGTACAGAGACGCTGGAGACGCTGCTGTGATAAACACCACAGAAAATTAACAATATTTTAATAGAAAATATAATTCAAATATTTTAGTAGAAAATCAGCTGAGGGCCACATTAAAGGTCTTGGAGGGCCGGATCCGGACCCCGGGCCGTATGTTTGACACCTGTGAGCTGGAATGCCAAAGGTCTGCAATGCTGAAAATGCTGCAAATTGAGGATTTTTTGACGAAAGCAAAGTTTGAAGGAAAAAAAAGATTATTTCAAATACAAATTGTTATTTCTAACCTTGTCAATGTTTTGACTATATTTTCTATTCATTTTACAACTCGTGGTCGTAAATAAAAGTGTGACTTTTCATGGAAAACACAGAATTGTCTGGGTGACCCTAAACTTTTGAACGGTAGTGTAGCTAGAAACGACGTGTCTGGAGGCAAATTGTTTCCGATACGATGATATGGTGATTAGTTTCAGATTAACCATAGTCCCTCCAGCGCGTCCTGGGTCTTCTCTGTCGCCTCCTCCCGCTGGGTCATGACCGTCTCCCCAGAGAGACGTCCAGGAGGCATCAGAACAGACGCCCTCCCCTCAGCAGCGGCTCCTCCCGTGTGACTTGAGCTCAATAAACTAAATCTCTAAAGAAGCGTCTCCTCGTCTCATCTGGACACACACAGGTCATGTTTACGGAACTTAAACTCAAATCATCATCAGCACTTTCCTTCTCAAACAGTTTTCGTGTCGCGTCTGCGCTCGTACTCGCGCCGCTGTGAGGTCAGGACGCTGATGTACCGAGGTCCTCCAGAATAAGCAGCTTGTCCGGGGCTCGTCGCGGTGATTAGCCCCGGAATGGCTCTCCGTGTGTGGGGAGCAGATGGGCGGAAGCTGGGCCTAATGTTCTGGAGCTCGACTAATGTGGCTTTTGGCTGGAGCTGGTCTGCAGATTCTCCACATGTTCAGAGAGACAGACGACAGGCTTTTCACGTGCCAGAGTAGAGCTCCAGTCGCTGGTCGGTTTTTAAAGGGATGTCTCTTTTTTTTTTGGACAATTTTATTTTTGGTTCCCACACTTTTTCCCCCTCGCTCATTGTTTCACACTACTTCATGACTTGATTTGATTAACTTGTAATTATAAATCTGATATCTTGTGCATTGCCGATCATACCTATTCTGTTTTCTTGTTATTTATAAAATTTTTGTTTTGTTAGTAACTCTGTGTAACTTTCTTTTTGTGGTTCAGTGATTCAGTGGTTAAAGCCATAGTCCCCACCCCGAAGGTCGAAGGATTGATTCCCACTAGGACTAAATTCTGTCGTTGTGTCCTGAGGCGTCATTCAATGGAAATAGAAAGTATTCCTTTAGTCCGCTGTTTATGGAGATATGACATGGAGTTTCATGACACACTGCGTCACATGACCGATGTCACGAACCCAGAGAATCAGGAAGGAGCGAGTCGCAGTGACGTGGTCCAATAAGGACGAAACCAGAGCTCCTACATCAGAGTATCAGTGTTTTCAGGCGTCCACACGGTGCCGGATCAGATCTGTACTCAGATGAATTTGTAGGAGCTGAAGGCACCAGATTGTTCTGTTTCTCGAGCCGTTTTCCATCAGATTAGTGTGAACGAACACTGAATCTACAACGAAAACGACTCGAATACGAACTAGTGTGGATGGGGCCTAAAACAGAATTTGAACAGAGACAATAGGGGCCCACTCAAGCAGAAGTAAACAACAAGGCCAAAAATTCAAGTTAATGCATCTGATATAAAAATGTATTGAACAGATACATATGTACTCTAGTTTATGAAACTGTTGACCTTTTTTCTGTATCATTTTTGGTTCTAAAGTTCCATATGTTTTAAACAGACCATGTATGAAACATGGAACAAAAATTATTTCCCAAATTTCAAAGACCTGAAAATCATGTAAATAAATGGATGTATTTCATCATATCTTGTGTTATTCCATCTTTGAACTGTTGATGAAGGTACAGGATTTAAAAAAAAAAAAAAAATGTAAATGATAAAAATTTGCTTGGAAGGACTGACATATTTTATAGAAATAGTTTCCTTTCATTTTGAAGTAATATTAAAGTATTCAGAAGAAAAAAGTTGACAAATGATGTAAAATCCTGCACCTTCTACTTGTTTGAACAATTTTCCCTCCGTTACTTTTCCCTCCGTTACCATGACCTTTCTTAATAAAAAATCTCATGACTCAAAAAGTCAGAGATTTTTCAACCTAATCTTGTACCATATGGTAGAAAACTATATGAAGCAAATATTCAAACCAGTTTGTTAAGGATATGTAAGTGAGAACCAAGAGTTATCACTGTTTGGATTTATTGCCCAAAAAGTGCTGCATATTTCATTCCCTCCGTTACCGACATGAGTTTTAAAAATTTTTGTCAACAACTTGAAAGAATATCACAGGTTTAACTTGACCCTGTTGGAGTGTAACTCTTTCCTACATTCTGATACTTTACTTATTTCAATAGTCCCTCTAGTTTCTGAATAAGAGACATTTGAATGTCAAAAAAAAATCTGCCTGTTTCCCTCTGTTACCACTTGACCAGACCCAATTATCAAATCACAATAGCTGCAGTTTCTGATATGAAATCATTTCCTTCAAAAACAACAAAATCTTCTGTCTTAAGGGCGCCACACACTACAGGATTATTATGACAAAAAACAACAAAAATCACACCCCGCAGACATGAGGAGAATCTTTTAAGATTTTAACTCTCCGATCACAAACACTGCAGCGGGATCTGTCTGCGCACCACAGGATGTAAAGCTGTGAGTGAGATTGTGTCTACAGTAAAACCACTCGCGCTGAGAGTTGAAAGTGTTGAAAAGATCAGAGCTCTGCACTTCTAGTTCAGATACAAGTCAAAACTGTGTTATTATTGTGAAACGTGGAGCAAAACTTCAGATACATGAAAATACATAGAAAGTTGGAGATAAAGTCACTATCGCTAATCTGCAGTTTCACGTTGATCTGTGCGCTGTGTGGATGTAAACAGACACACGTGAGGAACTACTCTTGCCTTTTTACTTTCAACAGCTTAATTTTGTGGACTGGGAGTTATTATTTGCAAAGGACTATGTGGATTTGATGCTGCAGTTTAAAGGTTGTATAGAGGATTTTTTAAGCGGAAGTGAAATACAGCGACAGTCCTTTTTCAAATGTCGTGCAAGTGTGACACCACCTTCCTCCTCCACAGCTCCTCAGTAGAAACACCTCCCCCCGCCTCGTTACTCCAGAAATCACGCTTGTTTACAGCCAGTGCGCGTTCAGAATTACTGTTGAAGTGACCCGTCTAGAAGTAATTTAGCGACCGACGCGTCAGTTTTTAGACCCTTTGTCTCTCTGGAAGGAATCTCCAAGAATCACCTCAGTTTGTCTTCGCTCCTTTTCTCCTTCTCTTCTTCTTTCAGCGACCTCGAAAACGGACTTTCTTTTGCGGCGAACCGGTCGTGGATTCTCGTCCGCCGTCGCGACAAACTTTGTGCAAATTGCGAGGAAGCTGCAGTTTGAAAAAGCCTCTGAGAACCGCTGCATAAACCACGAAATCCCCACACACCGTCAGTTACACTAGAAACGTAGGGAGTCTGACTGACAACTTAACAGCCAATAAATAATGAGGGAGCCTCGCTATCTATTGGCTGATGTTTATCTGGCCTCTCTACGTCCACAGTTGATGGGTTTTCATTCTTTTTTTTTTTTGGTCATCATAATTACAAGGCTGCTGCGTCTCTGTAATGGTATTTTAAACTTTCATTGACAATTTAAAACTGAAAAAAAATCCTCCATACAACCTTTAACAAGAGGTGAGGAATACAGTCTCATTATTGTTGCTGCTTCTTGAGTTTGTATTGTATGTTTCTCTGTTGTCTTCATTCCTCTGCCCCTGACGCTCTGTGTTATTGGCTGTTATTATAGAGTTGCTGATGTTTGATGGTTATGATTTGACAGAGGACACAAAGACACAAAGTCGGGTCACGCCTCCCCGAACTTGAGGAGAAGCAAATCGAAGCCTAAACTGGGCAAATTCTCCTGTAGCGTTTGGCAGCTTTAATTGTAGTTTAGATTTGTACAGACATGTTCCTTTTACTGAAGCAAAACTACAGATGTCAGAGCAAAAAACAAAACAAAACTTAAGTGTTTCATGAAAAAATCTAAAAAGTTCTAGTTTAAAAATGAACTTAGAGTAAAAAGTGAAAAAAAAAAATGAAATGAATTTTTAAAAATATTTTCCTCAAATCATGAAGTTGATAAAAGTAAAACCCTCAAACAATCAGACTAAATACTTTTACTTTTCAGATCAGTTCAAAAAACATAGTAGAGTAGAAAGTACTTCTCTCAAATGTAGTGAAGTAAAAGTAAAAATGATCCACTTTAAAATCTACTAAGTAAAATACAGATACCTAAAAAAAAAAAAAAAAAATTATATGTTTTAAGTTCCACTATGGAGTTTAGATCTGCACAAACATGTTCTGAAATGTGATTCTTGCATTAATTTGTCAGAAGAAATGTCAAGAAGACTGAAATCTGAACTGTGTGTGTCTAAAATATTTACTTTGAACAGAATTTTATTATTAAAACGTAAACTACAGATGCAATTGCAATATAATAATATCAAGAAAATGCAATTACATGTGAGAAATATGACCGTGTTGACCTACTTTTATCTGTTTTTGGCTAAAGAGAGACACAGTGGGGCTTTAATCTCCAATAAATTACATCTCCAAAGCCTCTTCTTCTTCTTCTTCTTCTTCTTCTTCTTCCACGCAGCTCTCCTCTCTGCCGCAGACACACTTGTATTATTAGCTTTAAGATCTGACAGCACGTTGGAGCCAGCTCATTTAAAAGCCGGTTTCTGTCTGGTTCCTCGGCGGACGGGGAGAAGGTGCCGGACCGTGGTGGCCTTTTCTCGACGACTGTGTGACAGCAGCCGGAGAGGAGCATCTTAAACGACTCCGGGATAATTACGTGAGAAAGAGAAAGAGAAAGAGAGAGAGAGAGAAAGGCTGAGGAGCAGGAATAATCAGACGCGGAGCTGCCACAGAACCGGGGCTCTCCACACGCTCATTATTTTACAGCCTTATCTGCGCTATAGGCTCAGGCGCGGACATCTGCTCGTGTTAAAGGACGCTTTGAAAGGCTTGGTTACCTCCTGTAGCCATGGGTCACCGACGGATGGAAAATGAGCCCTGTTGTCATCGGTAACGGGTGAAATGTGTTAAAAAAAGTCACTAATTACTGTAACGCGTTGCTTTTTGCTGTAACGCAGTGATGTGGCGTAACAGTGGGCCCTCGTTTATCGCGGGGGTCACGTTCTAGTATTCAGCTTTATATTTTACAATTATTCTATCTGTTTTAAGTCTGTAAAACTCCTCAGCACAAACTTTATACACTTTTCTCACACAGGACAGTTAACCGTTTTGCATCCTTCTTAAAACTTATTGCTTCTGTCGTCCTTTTGTTATTTTCCTCTTTTTTTATGTAACGAACAGAAGATTCATTTATTCTGTAATGGAGACTACAGCGCAGGGTCCTGCACGGGTCCATTTTTTGGAGACCCGCACCTGCACAGGACAGGACCACACCCGCCCGTCAACCCGAGATTATATCAAATTTTTGCGCTGCCTACGCCACAGACTCAGTGTTGGGGAGTAACAGATTACATGTACTGGAGTTACATAATCAGAGTACAAATTATGAGTAACTGTATTCAGTTACAGTTACTTTTTCAGTGAGTGGTAATTGGATTACAGTTACTTTGTTGAAATAAATGGATTACATGGCGGTATTTTACTGTTTTGGACTATATCCCTTTTTTCTTTTTTTTTCAGTAATTCCACTCATTGCTGGACACTAAACCAGGTCTAAACCAGGACTAAACCAGGACTAAACCAGGTCTAAACCAGGACTAAACCAGGACTAAACCAGGTCTAAACCAGGACTAAACCAGGTCTAAACCAGGACTAAACCAGGTCTAAACCAGGACTAAACCAGGACTAAACCAGGTCTAAACCTTGTCTAAAACCAGGTCTAAACCAGGACTAAACCAGGTCTAAACCAGGACTAAACCAGGACTAAACCAGGACTAAACCTGGTCTAAACCAGGTCTAAACCATTTCTAAAACTAGGACTAAACCAGGACTAAACCAGGACTAAAACCAGGTCTAAACTATGTCTCAAACAGGATTTAACAAGACTAAACTTCTTCTATCAATAATATTTTTAATTTGGTTCAGTAAAGTCTGGGCTTTTTTATTTTCTTTTATCAGATAAAACATCTTATGTTACGATTTCCTCGTCTTTGCTTCTCTACAGCAAATCAAGTAATCCAAAGTAATCAGATTACATTACTCACCTTAAGTAACTTAATGGATTCCGTTACAAACTACATTTTGGTGTATGTAATCTGTAATCTTGTAGGGGAATACATTTTAAAAGTCACCTTCCCAACACTGCACAGACTGAACCAGGACTAACCCAGGACTAAACTAGGGCTGATTCCAGGACTGAAGAGGAGGATTAAACCAGGACTAAACCAGAACTGAAACAGGACTCACTGTCGGGACAGGGTGGAAGGTGACCGCAGGAGAAAGGACCGGCTCAGCTCAGCACCTCACGAAGGTAAGAGCAGCCGTCGTCCGATCACACGGCACGGGCTCGTGGTTCTCTCTCTGGTTCCAGCTGCTATTTGCGGGGACCCGACCCGGTGCAGGACTCTGCCACAGCCGTGTAACTTCTCCCTTCCTTCAGCGTGTCCAGAAGTCCAACATTTTGTGCGATGGTTTCATCTTCCTCGGCCTCTTGGGTGTGACCACAGGAGCCGTTGTCGGTGCAGAACCTTTCGTCGACATTGTAAGTTTTGTCGGGGAGAAAACTTGCAAACATACAGCACTTCAGATTCACACTGATACAGACCCAACATTTAAAGGTTGTAGAGAGGATTTTCCAAGGAACGAGAAATCCAGCGACTGTTTGTCCTTTTTCAAATGTTGCGCATGTGTGAAACCACCTCCCCTCCCCTACAGCTCCTACGTAGAAACACCTCCTCCCTCCTCCTCCTTACGCCAGAAACAGGTTTGTTTACAGCCGCTGCACATGACTTGTAAACAACTAACTACAGTGTTGGTTAGGCAAGACGGAGAAGTGAGGAGCGGGGAGCGACGGAGATTCCGTGCGAATGAACTAGCTACTACTACAACACGCAGCTGCAAGCGGACTCTTTCTTTGCCTTGAAAATTACGTTTTCAGACATAGGATATCGCTTTCGTGTCCTGAAAAACGTTTGTGTAGCTCTTGGAAATAAAGTACGTTTTCATAATAAGCAGAAGTTTCCTGTCCAGGAGTAATTTGGCGACCAATGCGT